TTAGTTTAAATCTATGACCTATTGTTCTTGAAGTTCCCAGGTCTCAGGAATTCTTCCCTATCAATTTTGTCAATTCCTGTTACTATTTTGTATGTAGTGATCATATCACCTCTTTTTCTTCTGTCTTCTAGTTTTGGCATATTTAACCCGTAAACTGCGCAACACGTCATATGACGTGTTGAGTAACTTACCGAAAAAGTGCGCATCACGTCATATGACGTGTTGGAGTACTACGCAAGATTTAAGCGGCCCGCGGATACACAGGGTTCACCACACCTTCATCAGGGCTCTTGTAAACAGACAACATTTAAAAAAAAAATTGTGGGCCAAACTCCCGGGTGTTAGGGGCCTCAGTATTGAGTGAGCTACCAAGCCTTATGCCCGCAGCATGAGCTCAAAGCACTGCTGTTCAGCTTGTGACCACAGCATCGCCTAAAAATGCCATAATATACTTGTTCATGCTATTATGTAGCGATGATATTATTACAGAAGACCCCTGACTGTGATAAAACTGACCAGGGTTCTGATAATAGCAGGATTGTGGTGATACTTAGTGCTGTGCGCCATGGAGGGGAGGAGTAATGCTGTGAGAGGGAGGGTGGCGGCGATGTCTTCTGACTGTGTGTGGCCACCTTTTATTGACTGCACTCACCATACCAGCTTAGTGGTTTGCTATGGTGAATACAAATGTAGATACTTATATATAGCATGTGTATAGAGGGTATAAACAGCAAGAGGAATAGGTTGGGAGCCGCCATTTTGGTGAGGGCAGTGGCGTCGTCTGCACAACACCACCGTGCAGACGACGGTGGTGTTTACTGGTTACCACGATTGTCTTTGGGCACCATACCAGTTTACTTGTACAAGTATGGTGAATAAAACTTAGTGGTTCTTTATGGTGAACAAAACATGCAGATTCTTATATATAATCTGTGTATATAGTGTAATAACCGACTAAGTATTTGTTCACTGATTGATGAACATAATTGAGTCAACAATATGCACACCATATTTTTGAGTACAGCGATGATTCACTCATTTTATTATATAAATATATCAAACTACACACTATTGAATAATATCACAGCAAAAAAACTATGAAAAATCAATCAGAGACATTGAAATAATTAGGTAATTATCTCTCTGTGGCAACTCCGGCCTGACAGCTGGCGATCAACAGACCGCCTGGGACGCACGCTGAGTCAGTGCCTGTTTTTTGCCAGACTTCCCCGCCCTATAGCGGGCAATATATGCCACTTACGATTTTTTTATTATTTTTCCCGTGATCAGTGAACACAAATTAACAGGTTAGGAAGAAAAAAGAATTTTTTTTTTTCAAAATTACATGCGCCTGTGGGGAACCTATTATACCCCTAGCATGTTAAGGGTTAATGCCTCTAACCTCTCCTCATAGCTCTTATCCTTCATTTCTGGGAGCCACTTAGTGGCATGTCGTTGCACCTTTTCCAGTTTGTTGATGTGCTTCTTAAGATATTAACACAATACAAATGCTGCATATTCCAGCTTTGGTCTAACAAAAGTTGTGAACAATTTTTTTAGTATTTCATCATCCACGTATTTAACCCTCAAACCGCTAGGGGCCCAAATGGAATTCACACCCACAGGCGCAACAAAAAAATAAAACCAAAAAATTCTTTCGTCTTATTATTTTTATTATTATAAAAATATATTCATTTTGTGTTCATTTTTGTTCCCTGATCACGGAAAAAATAACAAAAAAATTGTAGGTGGCATATTTTAGCCGCAATAGGTTAGGGAAGTGTGGCAAAAAAGGGGCGTTGGCAGAGCCTTCGCCAGACGAGGTCTACTCCGCCCGAGCTGTCAAACGGATTTGCCACAAATATATTATTACCTAATTATTTCAATGTCTCTGATTGATTTTTTCTTAGTTTTTTGCAGTAATATTATTCCATACAGTGAATTGTCGTATATTTATATAATAAAATGTGTGAACCATCGCTGTACTGAAAATTATGGTGTGCATATTAGTGATTCAATTATTATGTTCATAAAACAATAAACAAATAATTTTGCTGTTGTTACACTATATACACAGGTTATATATTAGTATCTGCATGTTTTGTTCACCATAACGAACTGCTAAGTTGGTCTTGTGAGTCAAAAAGCAACGAGGAGTGACCGCCAAACACAGCCAGCCACTCGCTGTCACTCCCTCCCTCAACACAACCTCACTCACCCTCATTCTCCTCCCACAATACTGTTTTTGCATTTATTCACTATATACAGACGTTATATATATGTATTTATATGTTTTGTTCACCATAACTGTACATCTAAGCTTGTATGGTAAGTAAAGACACAAAGACGTAGCTACTCATACAGTCAGCTGATCGGCGGCCGCCCTCAAGGCCAGACGCACTAATATTTCTCCCACAACAATATTGTTTATGGTGTTATTACGCTATATACACACATTATATATATAAGTATCTACCTGTTTTATTCACCATACCTGTACAAATAAGCTGGTATGGTGCCCAAAGACCATAATGGCCATCAGTAAACAACTTGCAAAGTCGTGCAGACGATGCTCCTCCCTCACCAAAATGACAGCTCCCAACGTACTCCTCTCGCTGTTATCTCACACTATACACACGTTATATATAAGTATCTACATTTGTGTTCACCATAGCGAACCACTAAACTGGTATGGTGAGTGCAGTCAATAAATGGTGGCCACACACAGTCAGAAGACGACGCCACCACCCTCCCTCCCACAGCATTACTCCTCCCTCCATGGAGCACAGCGCTAAATATCACCACAATCCTGTTATTATCAGAATCCTGGTCAGTTTTATCACAGTCAGGGGGGCTTCAGTAATACTATCACTGCTAAATAATAGCAGTATCATATATATTATGGCCTTTGTAGGCGATGCTGTGGTCACAAGCTGAACAGCGGTGCTGTGAGCTCGTGCTGCGTGCGCCAGCCTTGGTGGCTTGCTCAATACTGACGCTGTAACACCCAAGAATGTTGGCCTGGATTTTTTTCTAGGTGGCATCTGGCAACTATCGGTCGTGGCTGTACTATAGCTGCCCCTATCCCAGGTGGGGCGTTTAAATTATAGCGCTAGACACGAAATCATATATAAATGATGTGCACGGTTTCGGTTTTGTCACTGATATCATTTATATATGATATGCGCGGTTTGAGGGTTAAAAGCAATTCTATAATTAGAAAGTGTAGCATAGGCTCCTCACACAATGTTCTTTATGGGCCTTACGTGATAGTTTGCTATCTAGAACCACCCCTAGATCTTTCTATCAGAATTTTATAAAGATTTCTCATCATTTATAGGTTGTGGGGTCTATGTTCTTCTATTCCACATTTCATAACATGGCATTTATTATAAATTCCATTTGCCAAGGGGTGCTCCAATATACTTATTTTGTCCAGGTCTTCTTGAAGGGCAACTGAACATTACCGGTGCAAGAACTAAACCCTGTGGTACTCCACTTGTGATATTCCTCCAGTCCAATACATTGCCTCTGATTACTGCCCTCATTTTTCTGTCAGAAAATTTTTCATCTATATTAGAAGCCTACCTGTCATTCTTCCAAAATATGTAATCACTACTGAATGATAACTTTACTAAGGATTACTTGTCCCACAAATCTTTAACTAAATCAACTAGAACAAGTATGCTAATACTTAAGGTTTTAACACTGGAATATATTACACTTGAAGTGTTCTTATTTGGAACTAGCCCACTGTTATCTCTACTTGACACTTGAAATTACCAAGCTGCTCCCCCTTGCCACAACCAAAATTAAGAGGCCATGTTATACAGAATAATAGCCAACACAAGTTTACCACAATATCCACAAACGACGAAGAATCCTACACTATTCGCAACCATCACTTGGTCATGTAAACAAACCTATACCTAGCATATCAAATTGTTGCACCACAAATGCAACAATTTAGTCACTGCACTTTAGTTAACAAGTGGGATGACCAACCAACCCGTTCCACTGCCTGCAGAGAAGTGGTCGAGCTTCAGCCCTGTTTACTTTCCTTTGTCAAGTGTTCCAATGTTTTCTGGTTTCGCATCTTATTTCTATTTATTTTATTTTGTTTAAAACTGGTTTTACCACATTTAACACTGATTTTTTAATATTTCCCAGTCACAGAATGTACTTGGAATTGTTTCCTTCTTATATAATAACACCTGATAATAACTTTTTGAAGGAACATTTCTCCCATGTTAAATGCACTAATGTGCATATGCAAAGTGGCTGCTGAACTGGCAGGAGATTTGAAAGCATATTTATCACACCCACTACAAAGGTCCCTTACTTACCAAATCTTAAAATTAATAAGTTTTGAAATGGCTTTATTATTCATTGGGTTACAGTGTACATTTAGCTACCATATATGTAATACATACGTATACATATATACATACACATACATATTTAATCACCCACACAAATACACACATCAATAATCTTTTGTGTCGCATGTGATTCAACAAGAGGCTCACAACAGTCACTATACAAGGCACTTTACATCTATGATGAGTCGCACAGTTACTAGTCTTGCTGCACATCCACCCAACTGGGCGGCAGCTTTACAGTTATGTGCATGCATTACTTACAGTAAGCAAATTTTGGACACTTCACATGTATGCATGAATATGTGTACATGTATATATAACATTAATAATTTTGTAACTAGCATCAAAAGATTGTTATTTGCTTAGTTAAACGAACTAGAGGGTTCAGTTCCTGAACTGATTATGTGCCTCTGTAATTCTTTACACCACCGCCCATGGGATGGGTATGGGGTGCATAATAAACAAAAAAATTGAATATATGTAATGAGTATAAATCTTACTTAAGATTAAAATGACTCACAAAAGAAGGATGTACATGGTCTATATACAAAAAATGGTGGCAAGGGGAGTTTAATTAAAACCTAATAGAAATATAAACATTATTAAAAGGAATTTTACCTCATAAGTGGTGCAATAGGAATAACTTTTGAAGGTAGGTTTACTGTGTCCCCAGATTTCCGCCGACATGTAACCACACCTTCCCATTCTCTTCCCCGTCTCATTTGCATGTTGACAGCTTCTGAGATATCTAAGTTAACCTGTAAATAGGCATTATATACTTTATGATGTTTTAAAAATGATGAAACTTAAACATGCACATATACATATACAGCTTGTGAAATTTTGCTTACCAAAGTCAATTAACAGCCTAACAGGCAAAAAACCAGCATTGAATGTAATGAAACGCCATTTTCTGGGAGACCCTGAGGCTCCTCGGAGCTATACCGGGCTGATGTGTGTATATATTAGACCATAAAAACAGTTAATTGATGGAGTACTAGGACTACCGGAGACCACAAGCCAGAACCTGGCTCCCTCAGAGGCACAAGGAGCAATTGCCTATAGACACCCCCATGTAGTTGGAAGCAGTGTGCCATCTACCAAGTCAGGCACCCAGAAAGGTAGGAATCCCAAAACAAACTATAGCTGGTTAAACATTGCAAACCTAAAGCCGAACGAGCAAGCAGTACTCCCCAATCAAAAAAAAGCAAATAAGCATGACATCATCACAGCCACAGTGCCTCTGCCTGCACAACTCCCCGTCCCTGGGAGAGGGAAGGGGGGTCCCAGACCTTCCACGCTGGCTACTCAACCCCAGTTCTGAGGCTGAATATCAAAAATGCAAAAAAATGCCGACTGGAGGGAGAGAAGGTTGACAGGAAGCCTCTGGGTCTCAACCAGTAAATTGTAAATTCATTACATTCAATGCTAGTTTTCTTTGGAGAGCCCCTCTGGCTCCCTGGAGCTACCTAACAGAAAATAAAGGAAAAGAGGGACTTACTCGGGAGGCGGCCACCATTCGCTCCTCAACTAGAAGTTGAGACAACTGGCTGCAACCTGCAACCCAATGCTACACATGTCCAAAAAACCAGCGTTGAATGTAATGAAACGCCTTTTTCTGGGTAAGCCCCGGAGGCTCCCTGGAGCTTATCGGGCTAATGTATGTTATGTTAGACTGGGACATTAGCTATGGAGTTCAGACCTACCAGGGACCAGCACCAGGAACTGGCCCCTTCAGAGAGGTTTCTGGGAGCAATGGCCCTGGAAAACCCCATATGGTTGGGGTTTTTCCTTATCTGCCATCGACCGGGGTCAGGCACCCAGAAAGGTAAGCATAACAAAACAAACCCCCTACATGGTAAAAGCTACAACAAAAACCAAACAGAGAGGTAGAAAACTCCCTACAATCCCAAAGAACAATCAAACAATCAATTTACTGCCGCGCCGGTTGTCTGCGCAGCCCTCCCCCCCCCCTGGAGAGGGAGGGGGACCCCGGACCTCACTGCGCCGGCTGCCTTCAGTTCGGAAACTAGGCTTCAACCAACGCGAAAAACCCCGCCGACCGGATGGGAGGGAGGGTAGCCAGGGAGCCTCCGGGGTTCATCCAGAAAATGGCGTTTCATTACATTCAACGCTGGTTTTCTGTGGGGAGCCCCTATGGCTTCCTGGAGCTACATACCCAAAGAGAAGGAACTAGGGACTTACCCGGGAGGTGGCGGTCACAAACTCCTCAACGCAAAGTTGAGACAACTGGCTGCAACCTTCAACCCAAAGCAACACAAGAACGCTGAGGAGCAGGGACGTTCATCAAATAACGGGCGGCCAGGACCCTGTTCGACTTCCAAAATCCACGCGTCCGAATATGAGCCCAAGACATGCTACCAAACACGGCAGCCAAAGCTGCAAACTTCCGAACGTCATGGGCGCGAGGATAGACCGCGGGCTGGCTAGACTTAATAACCCTGTGGACAACCTGGGAGACCCGAGCCCTGGAACAGGGAATGAGGGAAACCGGATCAACCCAAAGCACATCCCCAGCCACCCCAGCTGAAGCGCGCAGGTAACGGCAAAGTGCTGCAACCGGACACAACACATGATGCACCCCCGGCCGAACCAACCAAGCATCAATGACCCACGGACCCTTCCGGAAACCAGCCATCTCGTTCTTCGCCAGAAAAGATGGAGAAGGCTGCAAACGGGCAAACCTACCCCCAGAACCAAAAGAGCAGAAACCCCTGCACCGGAGAAGAGCATGAAGCTCCCCTACCCGGCCCCCAGAGGCCAATGCCAACAAAAACAAAGCCTTGGAAAAACAATCCTGGACCGAAGGGGCCACCACAAACCGAGGAGAGGAAAGATAGGAGAGCACCCTGTCCAATGACCAGGACGGCTCAGGAGGAGCATGAGCAGGCCGGAGGTGAAACATAGCACGGGAAAGCTTACGAAATGGGGCAGATATGACGTCCACCCCGAACGCTAGCTTGAGCGGCTCCGCCAGCGCCGCATGATACAAGGTGACAGTATTAGGCATCAAATGACGGTCCTGAAAAAGCCAAGAAAGAAAGGACAAGACAACCCGATCCGAAAGAGGAGACAACCTACGAAGAGCCAGAAAATGGCGAAAAGAACGCCAGGAAACTTCATACTGTCGCCGAGACGAAGCTCTCAGGTGGGACACCATCAACGAAGCCACCTGATCACCATTGAAATGGTGATACACTCGCATCAAAAAGACCAGACGCGAAGAGCAGAGGAGAAGTTCGAACCAGCCCTATACCGGACCGGGCCGACTTCCTGAAAGAGGCGGAGCCGCGGGAAACATCCCGGGTTTGGGCACCGAACCAAGAGCATCGAAAACGAAGGCTGGGCCGGCCACCAAGGGGCCACAGGGACTACTCTCCCTGGGAATGTCTCCAACCGAACCAGAACTCGAAGCAACAGCTGGACCGGGAAAAGAGGTACAGGTAACCCCACCTCGACCAGTCCTGCTGAAAGGCATCCACCGCGAATGCCTCGCAGTCGAGGAAGGGCGTCACATAGATTGGGAGACGCGAAGAGGTCCACATCTGGGAGACCGTACTGTCTGGCAGATCCAACGAAACGAGTCATCGTCGACCGTCCACTCCGTGGACAGGGGATGGAAGCGTGACAGACCGTCCGCCAGAACATTGGACACTCCCCGGACATGAACCGCATGGAGAGCCAAACACCGAGAATCCAGCAGACGAACCACTCGAAGAGACCAACCCCAAAGAGCCAAGGACCGAAGAGAACTCCCGCGGTTCAGGCAATGAACCACCGGAGAACAGTCCGAATGGAGGCGAATGGTCGATCCCCCAGCGACACAAACACTCCGAAGCGCGAGCCAGACTGCCGCGAACTCCAGAACCGTGCTGTGAGCCCGACGGAAGGACGGACCCAACCGTCCCTGGCCTGCCTGGTGAGCACTGGTCACAAAGCCCCAGCCGAGAGACGACGCATCCGTGAACACATCGAGCGATGGCTCAGGAAGGTGCCAAGGCACTGAACCCCGAAAACCCTGAAGAGGAAGCCGGTGACACAGCAACCAACACAAGGCCCACGGAGAATGAACCCAACGATCGCGAGCGAGGCGGAAGGGACTCCCCGAAGGAACCAAAACAGACGCCGAAGCCAAACCCGGCCAGACAGGTAGACGAGCACGGCGAAGTTCAGACTCCTGCACAACCGCTCGAGCATCAGCCGAGTGACCCGGGACCCCCTCAGAAACATCCGACGGCTATCCTGCAGCCGCAACAATGCCTCTGGAGGGAGAGACAAGGAAGTGGTCCAAGAATCCCAAACAAGACCCAGCCCGGTCCGAACCTCGGACGGAACCAGATGGGACTTCCTCCAGTTCACCAGGAACCCGAACCTGGCGAGCTGGGAAAGAACCATGTCCCTGGCGAGCAGACAAGCCGACCGACTGGGAGCCCACACCAGCCAGTCGTCGAGGTAGACCAAAACCCGAATCCCTAGAAGACGCAGACGGGTCACCACAACCCGGGTCAGACGCGTGAAAATGTGAGATGCCAGATTCCAGCCAAAAGGTAGGCATTGAAAACGGTAAGCGTGACGCCCCACCACGAAACCTAACCAGTCCCTGAACCCTGGATGAATAGGAACGTGCCAATAGGCGTCCTAGAGGTCTAGGGACACCATCCAGGCACCCGGCTGCAACAGAAGCCAAACCTGAGATAGAGTAGTCATCCAAAAGGAGGGGCAAGGAATCCAGGGGTTCAGACAGGACAAGTCCAGAATGAATCTCATATCCTCACAGCCCCGTTTCGGTACTGGAAACGGACGGGAAACCCACCTGAGGGACGTAGTCGTTTCGACCACGCCCTAAGCACACTCACTCCAAGATGACTTGAAGCGCAGGAGAGGAAACCTGCCCTGTTAGCCCCGAACCCCCCAAGGGAGGAAGAGTCGCCCAACGCCACCGCAGGCCGGATGACACGACCGAAAAGGCCCACAAATCGTGGGACCAAACGTGAGCAAACAGAGCGAGCCTTCCCCCCATCACCCCGTCAACAAGGCGAACCACGAAAGGGCCGACGCCCCTTACGAGAACCCAAACGTCGAACAGGGCAATCACTGCGCCGACCAGACGACGCCGGCCCCAAAGGGAACAACGGCTCAGAAACTGGCACCAATGGGCCCACCTCGACCAGCGGAACCCTGAACCCTGGCACGACCCCTCTGAAACTGTCAAGAACAACCGCTTCGGAGAATCAACAAGTCCACCATAGGACGACAACTGGACGAAGCCGCGTGCAGAAACTGAGAGACCGCAGTCTCTGCAAACAACAACGGACAAAATGGAGACGAAAACCTAAGAGCCAGGGCCCAAGCGGAATCCAAAGAGAGGTCGAGCACAGCTTGACAGCACGCGAGGTGATAAGCAAAAAACAGAGACACCGCTTCCTTCAGGATGGGCGCAAAGAGCTTCAACAGTGCAGCCGACGCCCTAGCTGCCGAAGACAGCGCCCCGGACGAAGGCCCATCACTCAATGCTCCCACATCCTCCTCAAGCCAAGCAGAAGACAGCTCGAGAAGGGAAAAGAAACACAAGACCGAAGCCAAATGCCCACAGGAGCGAAACTCCTCTGCAACCAACGAAGCCGAAAGCTGAGGAACCTGCACGTGAAGCTGGAAAAGGCCAACATCCCGAGAAAGTACGAGAGCGAATAAGCAAGCATTAAGGTGCTCAAACTCACCCCCCAGGTAAACCTGCATA